TTCTAGTTATGATTCTCAGTTTCAATTTTCTAGAACTGGAATTAGATCCTAATGGGGTTAGTTCCAGTTCTACCCTTTATCCCATGCAACCATGCAGGTCCATGCTCACCCTTATGGGTAACCTAAACTAGTAGTCTCTTCTAAGTATTACAATTAATTAATTTTAATTACAACTCTATCTCTCAAAGTCTAAAATTCTCATGTGCCCATGTGTTTTATATAAACAAAATACTTTAGAAATAAATTATACTACGTATATTTGGGTATTATTAGAGTATTGTATAGATGAATTTATACAGTAAACATATACATATTTTGTAAATCTTGAATTATTTGTCATAATATTTTAATTTTAAGTCGATCAACTATTTTTATCAACCTTTTAATTTGTACATAGTTGATTGTGTTTAAAAGGAGTTAACGACTTCTTCCAACCAAATTAATGACTTTATGACACTTTTTCATAAATTTTAAAATGTCACTTTATTACTTAAATTTATATTCCGACAACAAAAACTACATGGGGTTTTGATGAGTGGTAATCGAAAAAAATATTAATGGACAAAAATAGTAATGTATAATAAATTTTTATTTTGGTCCCCCTAAAAGTAATTCCTGAATCCGCTATAATGATGATGGTGTGAGATCGCATTTAGATAATAAAATGGTATTTTAAAAGTCTATGAGTGAAAAAGTATCATTAAACAATTATTTAAACGGAAAAAAATCGTTAACTCTATTTAAAAGTGCAAAGATGAGTGATTCATAAGATATATTAATTAACTTTCCTAATTATAAACTCCAATTAACAACAAAAGCAATATCTACATGGCTTCCATTAAAGAAATTCTTTTAATTATAAAATAATAACAGAGATCATAAAGTCAAATTGGATTTATTTAATAAAATTATGGAAGCTCAAAAGTCAAACCCACGTCACACTATTCCATTGATTAATTAAATTAATGTAATTATGTGATTAATCGTAACGTATATGCATGCAGGGGCAACCGACAAATTATTACGTTTGATGATAACTAAATAAATAATATCTTAAGCAAAGTTGGATATCATGTCAAATATTAATTAAATATCCAATTTAAGTTTATAATTTGGAAGATTATTCACTAACACAAGGCAAGAGTTGATGATAATAAATGGAGTATTTTTAATTAGTGGGATGCATTATCTTATTACATCAAAATTAGAAAATTAATCTAGGAATAATTCCATGTGATTTTGGATTCATGGCATAAAAGATTTTAATGAAACTCTTACCCGACTGGTAGTTTCAAGGTTTTGAGTGATTAATTAAGGCATGAACGTTGCTAGGATTTTGAGTTAGTGGGTTCAAATAATGAAAATTGATAAATTTACAATAAAATATATACTGAAGTAATGAGGATAAAAAATATACTTTTAAAAGTTATACATACCAAATTATAAATTCTACAATTATCCTCGACCTTTTTTTTCATATTCTGAAAACGTTGCATAATCGCCAAATCTCTATAATTTAGGGTTTCATTAATTCTTTAAATAATTCAAAATTAACTCAATAACTAACCAAAATTTATCAAACTCAACTTAAAACAACAACTAATTAACTCATACCTCAACATAAATAAGATTAAATCAAAACCCACATTAAAATCTAATAATTTAATCTTCCGATTTCAAACTCATTTATTAAAGTCAGCAAAAACTCATAGCTCATGATCTTTTATTAATTAAGAAAGCTAAAAGAAAAGAAGTTTAAGTTAAAAAAAAAAAAAAAAAAAATCATCTTACATCTTAATCCAAAGGAGTGACATTTCTTGAGTATTTAACTAAAGGAAAAGTATAATATGAGAGAAAATAAAGAAGAGAAAAAAGTTAAAAAATAGTTAATTAATAATTCATGAGGTCAACATGAAATTAAGTTGGGTTAAAATTACAAAATTCATAAAATATTAAAACTTTTTTGAAATTTTTAAAAAGTTGAGTGGATTCAATTGAACCCGCAACTCTCTATGTAGTTACGTGCTTGAGTTGAAGTACATATAAACTGATCCAGATATCTCAATCATAAAAGAAAAATGATTTAATAAATGATGTTGATAAGTTATATTTGAGGAAAGGTTGCGATTTCCGAAAGCTACACATTTATATGATAAGTGATAACCTCTCTTAAGAATAGCAATTGATAGTGGCATCCATGTGGCCTATTTCTCATCAGTTAAAATGTCATTGTTCTTAATATTAATTATGCTTATTCCATATTATTATTATAATTATAATCAAAACCAGTAAGCAGAAACAACTCTGTTCATGTAGAGAAGCTTGAAGATAACTTCAATGGAAAATATGTAGAAAGGCACGTTCACATGTCTGACCATGCATGTGCTGGGTTCGTGCTTTGCATGGTCATGTTTAGTCAAAAAGATAACTTCAATTCATTTTTTGACGTGGCAGATTTGCCTGATCTGGTTGGTCGGTCACCTTTATGTTTCTATGACTTTCCACCTTTCACTTTAACCACTCAATCTCCTTTCTTTATTATAATTAATTAACTAATTTACAACGAAAGCAATAAATATATCATTAACCATGACTATAATAAATGTTTTACGAGCTTTTGAATTCGAATATCTTCAGATATTAATAAAGATGACCGTGGATACTCTTTGAAGATTAGTTGAAGTACACTTTTAGTGACAAAAAAAAAAAAAAAACCAAACAAATATATTCTTAACAAAATGATTTTAGTGGGATTTTTTAGAAGAGAAAAAATAATACCTTATCTATATATGAAACATGAGACAACTCCAAGATATGTTATTTAAAGGATGGTATTTCAAAATATTATTATATAAAAAAAAAAAGGCAATTAGTGAAGGCACATGGTGGGTGGGTTATGGCGTTATGGGTTATAGATTAGGCTGGCGGAGGAAGCAAACAATAATTCGAGTCACATGGGAAGTGAGATTTCGGCCTTGGAGGCTTCCCACTCACATCACTTGTAAATGCTTTATCAATTTTGTAATTTTAATTTTTTTAATATTGAAAACAGAGGTTCTCCAAACTCTTGATTTCGTGTCATTCCATGCCATAATAGGGGTGGGGGTGTTAAAAAAAATAGAAAAACCAAACCGAATTTTTGGTTATCCGAAAAACCGATTTTGTTTCGGTTCAAAGAAAATAAAAAACCGAATTTTCGGTTTGATTATTAGTTTGAGAGAATATGAAAACCGATTAACAAAAATCGGTTTTACTAATTGGTTTCTTAAAAAAATATAAGGTTTATTATAAAAATATATGAAATTAAAATTTGTTTTAAACTGGTTAATCAATTCAATTTCAGTTTAGGAAAATTTCTGAACTGAAAAATTGGTTCGGTTCATCAAACCGATTAACTGGTTTTGATCACTCCTAAATAGGCATCAATTTATTCATCTTTAACGCCATCAATTTATTTGAATGCATTGAATGTTAAGTATGGAAAAGTTACCTAAATTGTAAATTTGGAAATCAATGCATCAATTTATTCATCTTTAACGCCATCAATTTATCAAATTATTTACCCACAAATTCCGCCAATACGTCCACGTGGCTGCTCCTGCTCCTTTAACTCAGTTGGTAAAACGTAAAAACAGCAATTATTTGTGACGTACAAATTCATGAAAAGAAAATCCTGAGCCGTTGATTCGTGGGATCAGAAACAGAGGGAGAGGGGTCCACTTAAAAGAGTGTAGGGCATAGGCAAATACGTACAGTATACGCGATGATACTACTTGTGCCTGGTGGTGGTCCCCTCAATTTCACGCGGTTTTGAAGGTTTCGGGTTTTATTTTTCTTTAATTTGAATGCATTACAAGTGATTTTTTAATTGCAGCGCACTACAAACTTTCTAATTGCAGCCCCTTCATTTGCCATTGTCTTGTCACTTTGGGTTATTCCAAAGTTGTATTATTTTAACTTTATTAACCCCACATATTTTTAAATATATATTATGGGTTGCATTGTAAATTTTTAAGAGATAAATTATGTTAACATTTCATATTTAATATAGTCCAATGCTTTGTCAATGATCTAATGATTGAAACGTTTATTTAACGATATTAAGTATTTAAATCAAAAAGTTAATTCACGATATCTTATCATATCTTTTAATCTATTAATTTATCGTTAATTTTATATGCTAATTTTTTTTTTTAGTCATCAGGAGAGCTTAGACCATCTTACACACACTTTAACTAATCTATTGAGGTCTTGAAACTGTCAATTGAGAAAGAGTTTCAATAACTATCATTATTAGTGTTTAAAGAGACTACCAAAGAACTCATAAAATTTTCTTTTTCCTCTTTTACCATCAGGTCACCCAATGGTTATTATCATATATGATATTTTAACGTATACTTCAACTAATTTCTAGAGTTCATTGAACACTATATTTTACTATTTTATTATGTATAAATTTAAACTATTGGATCAACTCTCTAGTATATGAGTGGAATTTGACGTTGACATATTTTTGATATTAAAGTCAAATATTTTTACAGCATTAAATAATATACTCGGTAGGTTTTATTTAAGGAAAATTAATGATGGGTATCGAAAATGTGAAGAGATAAACAGGCATGGTTAATGCCACCGCTTGCAAATGAAGCAAAGTGAGATGAAGTTGGGTTGGGTTGTATAAATATTAATCGGAATAATTGCTATTATCTCAAAATGACAAGAACATATTCAGTTATTCACTCAACTAAAATCATGGAATATATTCCTAATAAGAGTAACGGAGGTATGACGTGTTTGATTATGAATGGATGAAGATTTAATGTGACCGTCCCCGTCCCGTAATTCCATCAAGTAGCACGTGGCAATTGTCATCCAAATCCCAACTTGCCTTAATCTGACAAAGCAAATTTAATATCATAATATGAATCACCCATGTGCTGCTCACGTGTATTCCCTCACCCAACCCTAACCCACTGCCCACAATAAAATTAATAATTAAATAAAAAATCTTTAATGAGATCTGAGAGAAAAACCACTCGCAGTAACAAACACCATTAATTACATTTCACTCTTTATTCTCTTTAACCCTAACCGCTATCTCCTCTTTAAGTACACCCATCACCTTCTTCCCGCTTTCTCATTCGCCCCCTAGCCCATTCACTCCACTCACTCTCTCTCTCTTTCTCCCAGAACCTCACTAACAATGGCTATTGCAAATGTGCTCTGTTTTGTTTTACTCACACTTTCCTCTTTCGCGGCGGTGAATGCTAAAATTCCTGGTGTTTTCACCGGTGGGCCATGGCAGAGTGCCCATGCTACTTTCTACGGTGGCAGTGACGCCTCCGGAACTATGGGTATAGGCTTTTTTGACCTTGCATTTCTCCGTATTTTACTACTCGTACGTAACTAAATGTGGTTTTTTTTTTTTCCTATTTTTAGGTGGTGCTTGTGGGTATGGGAATCTTTACAGCCAAGGCTACGGCGTCAACACGGCCGCATTAAGTACGGCTCTGTTCAACAACGGTCTGAGCTGCGGCGCGTGCTTTGAGATAAAGTGCGCGGACGACCCCAGATGGTGCCACTCTGGTGGTTCTTCCATCTTCGTTACTGCAACCAACTTCTGCCCGCCGAACTTCGCTCAGCCGTCTGACAATGGCGGCTGGTGCAACCCTCCCCGCCCTCACTTCGACCTCGCCATGCCCATGTTCCTCAAGATCGCTGAGTACCGCGCTGGTATTGTTCCCGTTGCTTACCGCAGGTGAGTTTACTGAAATGCCCATTATTTTACTTAAATATTTTCTTCATTGTTTAGTGTAGACAATGGGAAATGTTGTGTCATACTTTTTATTTAACTTTAAATAAATCTTAGAAACTGAAAAGAGTTGCCTTTATTATTTTGAGCTTTATGTCGTTTACCCAAAAATAGCCAACGGCAAACCCTTCTTTACCTAAGTGCCCATTCGCTTTCGGTGCGGTGGCTTGCCCTAGTTTGCATTAAATCTTAACACTAATTTTCACTTTTACGAGGACATTATTGTAAAAAAAAACCAAAGGGTATTTCTGTTATTTTCAATTGTCAGTGTCTTAAAGTCAGAAAATCTGGGACACACACTTCACGTTTTCCCACGCGTGTGTTGGGTCACAGTTTCTTGTGACTCTGTACCCTACAGTTCCCACCTTAATTTACATTTAAATAATGAGTTTTTTTTTGTTTTTTTACCGGTCTAGCGTTGGGTCTTTAAAAAGTGCCTTTAATTGTAGGGTAGGCACTAACTGTCACGGTGACGATTTTGTTAATTTTTTATATACAGGGTGCCATGCAGAAAGCTAGGTGGAATCAGATTCACCGTTAACGGTTTCCGTTACTTTAACTTGGTTCTGGTGACCAACGTGGCGGGTGCAGGAGATATCGTGCACGTGAGCGTGAAGGGAACCAACACTGGCTGGTTGAGTATGAGCCGTAACTGGGGGCAAAATTGGCAATCTAATGCTGTACTTGTGGGTCAGGCTCTTTCTTTTAGGGTCAGGGGCAGCGATCGCCGCACATCAACTTCATGGAACGTGGCACCACATAATTGGCAGTTCGGTCAAACCTTCACGGGGAAGAATTTCCGTGTCTAGGGATTTTTATTAATGACTTGTTAAAAAAAAAGTAAAAGCATTTTCATTTCCCGCCTTCACATTTGTTTTTCCTTTATTTTCCCGGGAAAAATTTGAAGTGATGGGTGAAATGGGATTTGATATTAGGATTTAAGTAAAAGTGAGAGTGATTGTGATAGGTAAGGTAGAAAAAGTGAGAAAAGTAAGGCGTGGTTTCTGTTATTTTTTATTATTTTGTTTTGACTTTTGTCGTTTCGGGTTGGTGATAATAGTTAAAAACCAGCCATCGGTTTAAGTGTAAGAGGCTGAAGGTGGCTGCAGGAAGAAACCAATCCATGTAGCCCGCAGCTCTGGTAATATATATATTTATTTTACTCGTATAAATATAATATGGTATTAATTCCCTTATGTTTGTGTATGAATGAATGTTTATTTCTATTTTCATGACTTCACGGTATCTCCAGTTGTCGGTGGTTGTTCTGGGGAGCATGTGTGGATGGCTCCACTCCATTGCTTTATCTTTTAGCTGATGGAAGAAGGAAATCCTGACAATATATATATTTAAAGAAGAAATATTAGTCCTGAAGATAACTTGAATTCTCGTGAAATGTGCCTATCATTTACAATGTTATTAATGTTTAAATTATCTTGAGGTTCAGTTGGGCAAATCCCATTTGCCAGAATATTTGTTATCATATCTAATTGCATGCATGAATTAATGTTTGCTGTTGAGTTGGAAATCAATTTGTGGGCCTTCTCATTTCAGATGAAGGTATTTGTGGGGAACCCAGATCAATAAAAGTCCCAGTTATTGGCTGTTTCCTCTTTTCTGAACTGGTTGCCAGCTTGCATTTAGTTTGGAACCAACCAAACAGCTTTTTACTGCTAGACCCCCAATCAAAATTTTATCGGACATACTTGAAGCTTAAGGTTGTAAATGAATACTGTGACACCATAGCAAGGACCCAAATCAACGGTGTTAACTACATTTACCCATACGGTTTAGGTCCACCAAGTCTCACAATTTGAAGTACAGCAAACGACAAAAGATTAGCGAAATAGCAAATGTATATCCTAAATTCCCACTCTGACACTCTCTAAGTAACATAAAATTAAATAATATGAATAACGAGGGCAAGGAAAAATAAACAGTTTTTGGGTTTTTAAAACTGGACATGAAAAATGAGGGATATATATATATATATATATTTTTTTTTTTAAACAGAAAAATCCCTTTAATTAACCGATTATGTAAACCGTTTGATAAATTTATAATAATACTGGGTTTATAACCTTCTTTTACAACTTTTAACGTGATAACTCGTTATTGGTTAGCTTGTAAATAGGCAATCGAGATCCACAAGTAAGTAGGACCCATTTTGTGAGCCGACTAAAGACGAGCTACCACGTTAGGGGTTATGAGATTGGGTTGTGGACCTAGAATTACTCATAAATTTAAAGTGGCAATACAATACTTACAACCCAATCTTACAAACTTTCTTTCACAACTTTGACGTGACAGCTCGCAATTGGTTTCTAGTGAGTGAGCGTTTGCTTCCTTACTTTCGAAGGTGGAACCCATTTCACGATTAAGCATCCAACCCCCTTGAAAGGGGCCTTTTCTTGCAAATTTCGATAAGAAAGGGGATGGATAGGCTCTGAAAGATTGTGAGATTGTGTTACGGTGAATAAAGTGTTCCTCTCATAATCAAACCTAGGTTGTGTGGCGAAGGGTTAATATATTTGACTCATGATTTCCTGCCAAGCTACAAGTCAAGCACTAATGAAACCATCCATTCCCATCTCCAAAGATTCTTGCCTTGTGGCCTATCACTTACTCGCTTTCTT